TTAAAAAAAAAAAAACTTATAAGGAAGACTATGCAGCAAATCTGACTATCTATTAGCCTAGGAACTGAAGTAGTCATTACACCTTAGATATTTAAAAGGCATATCAAGGTTGACGTAAGGGGAATTGCAGTGACAAAAATAAAATTTAAAATAAATTTTCATTTTGTTCTACCTCCTATGTTTTATGAACAATAGTAATATTTTTAATTTATAAAAGCTCTTTTCTCTTTTCTTCCTCTCTCTTCTTATTTTCCTTTAGATAGTAAGTTCTAAATATCTATCTGCTACCCTATAGTTTATAGATATTTCATCAGTGTCTTCAAAACTAAACTTACCATCTATGCTGCAGTTAGGAAAAACCATGCTTACCATAGTATGCATACTCCCTCCAAATTCCTACTAGATACTCTGAGTGAATATTTTTGGGTTCTGCCTGCCCAGTATTATGTGTCCCTCTTTTCCTGATAACTGCAACTCCTTTCCCCCGAAGGTAGTATCCTTTACCCCTACTTGTGATTTTGGTGGGACAGCCAATCACAATACTCCTCTCATCCCCCAGCCACAATCGTTAGCCTGGGATTAAACGTGGTGCCTTTCCAAGTTCCTATCAGAGTTCTTAGCCGAGATTTTATACCAATTCTGAAAGAAAGGTGACCTTTTTTCTTTTCAGTTGCTAAACTGGGTTGCTGTAAACCTTGAGCTATCTGTAATCATACTCTGTCATTTCCCAACCATATGAAGGAAGCACTCCTGAAATGGGGAAGAATAAGAGCCGCACATGGAGGGAAGTAGAAGAGAGGAAGAGAGCAAAGAGATGATCGGATGATTTCATTTCTCTGCCTGAGGCCAGCTCCACCCAATGGACTTCCCAGTTCAGTAAACCAACAATTTCCCTTTTATACATAAGCTTCTATGAGACGGCTTCTGGCATCTGTAATCAAACGTGTCCGGTTGAATATAGTGCCTCTCCAAACTCATAGCCATGCTCCCCTTCACTCTCCATGCTCAGCCATACTTGAATACTCTCTGGTCACTGTGCTCTTTCATGCCTGGGCCTTGGAATATATCATCCCTCTGCCTGGAGCCACAGGCTTCAGATCTCAGCTGAAACATCACTGTCTTAAGGAGGGCCTACCTGACTTTTAGATGTAGGTCATTCACCTGCTATAAACTCTTTGTGCACTTTGTGCTTTCCCTATCATCAACCTCACCGTAGTTATTATTATTGCCTCTTTGATGTTTCTCTTTACCACTGGACTCTGAGCTTTGTGAGATCAGGGAACTGCATCTGTCTTATTCACTGATATATTCACCAGCACCTAGAATAGTGCTTGGCCCAAAGTACACACCTAAGGAATACATGAATGGTGTTTTCTATGCATATCGTTAATGTATTTTCAAAACTTAGTATACATTTTCTTTTTTTTTTTTTTTTTTTTTTTTTTTGCTGAGACAGAGTCTTGCTCTGTCACCCAGGCTGGAGTGCAGTGGTGTGATCTCGGCTCACTGCAACCTCCACTTCCTGGTTCAAGCAATTCTCCCGCCTTAGCCTCCCAAGTAGCTGGGACTACACGTGCCTGCCACCACACCAGGCTAATTTTTGTATTTTTAGTAGAGACAGGGTTTCACCATATTGGCCAGGGTGGTCTTGAACTCCTGACCTCGTGATCCACCAGCCTCGGCCTCCCAAAGTGCTGGGATTACAGGTGTGAGCCACCACGCCCGGCCTAGTATACATTTTCAACCCTACTTCCTAGCAGAACTAAGCTGGTAGACACTAAATTTCCTAAGATTCCACAGCTCAGAAGGCCAATTACCAGGCTGAAAATATGACTTTCAACTCTTAATCCAGCCTACTTCTCACTATAAACATCTACTTCTAAAAATATTTTTCACACAAAAAATAAATAATAAGCTTCTCAGTTGCAGCCAGGGTTAAGTACCACTGTTTCAAAATCACCTTATTTTTCCTCTTTGAAACTGCTGATACTATCAAGTGGCATTGCCCTAATTGCTTTGTGTTTCTCTGTATATTAATTCTAATTCTTTTAATGAAATCGTTAATTCCTTGACACTTTAGTCTTGCTACTCAAAGTGTGGTCCCTGGACCAGTAAAATCAATATCCCTCCAGGAGCTTTTCAGACATGCAGAATCTCAAGCCCCATCCCAGAACCTATAGAATTAGAAACATTTTAACAAGATCCCCAGATAACACCATGTACAGTTCTCAACCACTGCTCTGGAATAGTCAGTCACAGCAGATGTTTTTGTGCCATACCATTTGTATTCACAGCACATAGGTTGGGAGACTGCAGGTGAAGGAAAATACTTAATACCAGCTTTTGAGGAATCAGATGTTGAGGTGGTCAGTTAATTCGATGAGCCAAACTGAGAGTAACAATCAGACCTTTCTTCTCTGCTACAACAGTGTGGGCAAGAGGCAAAAGAGGACGCCTCCAGCTCCCCCACGTTCCCCTTATCCCCATGGAACAGCTCTAGGTGAGGATCAGATGACGTGGAGAACAGACAAGAAAAATGAGCCCAGGCCCCACACGAAAGGCTCCTGCCTCTTTATAGCCCACAGGCTGGGAAAGGGGAAAGGGCTAGGAGTAGAAAGGTGCGGAGTCAAAGTGGAGGAAAGTGCCTCAGCCAAGGCCCCCAACAGGCAGCCTCTGAATAGAGACACCTGGGCTAGGCATACAGACATGCACACATGCGGTGCAGGGGTGTGAGGGAGGGGTGGTGGAACTGAATCTTTTTTTTTTTTATTTAATGTATGAGCCTAACCTTCCCTTCCCCTCCCCTCCCCTCTCCTTTCTTCCCTTCCCCTCCCCTTCCCTTTCCTTTCATTTTTGAGACAGGGTCTGGCTCTATCACCCAGGCTGGAGTACAGTGGCGAAATCTCAGCTCACTGCAACTTCCGCCTCCCAGGCTCAAACCATCCTCCCACATCAGCCTCCCAAGTAGCTGGGACTGCTGGTGCATATATTTGTATTTTTGGTAGAGATGGGGTTTTGCCACGTTGCCCAGGCTGGTCTTGAACTCCTGGGCTCAAGCAATGCTCCCGCCTCAGCCTCCCAAAGTGCTGGGATTACAGGTGTGAGAAGAAAGATACCCGCCTGAATCCTTGAATGCAACTCCCTAGAGGAAACTGTAAGGCACTGGCTGTGCACTGAGTCTGCTGTGGGAAGGGCAGCTTCTTCCTTCCATGGAGCTTGCCAGGCAAAGCCTTGTCATTATCTCAAATCACACATCGATCACACAAAGGATTTTGGCCTAGAGTCAAACTTCTCAACTAGTTGATATAAATTTTGCACCATTTAATAAGATACTACTTTGCTCAGTAGGCTAAGCAAAGTAGTCAGTCTATCAAAGCGACCCGTGCGTATTGAAGGATTTGTCTCCAGAAATGGTTCTCAAAGGGCAATGTCTGGACCAGCAACATTAGCATCACCTGGGAACTTCCTAAAACTTCAAATTCTTGCGCCCCACCCTAGACTTTCTGAATCAGAAAATGTCGGGATGGAGTCCAGCCATCTGTGTTTTGATACTTCCCCTGGGTGACTCTGACAGATTCTAACATTTGAGAACCCACTGCTCTGTAGCGGGGTTTCTCAAATTCAGCACTATGGACATTTGAGGCCAGATAATCGTTGTTGCGGGAAGCTGTTCTGTGGATTGTGGGATGTTTAGACAAGCCTCTGGCCTCTAGCTACTAGATTCTTGTACCATATCCCTGGTTGTGACACCCCAAAATATCTCCAGCCATTGCCAAATATCCCCTGGGGGACAAAATTGCCCCCAGTTGAGAACCACTGCCCTCGAGTAATAACTATGACCTAGATTGGTCCAAGCCTAAAACATAACATAAAAACACACAAAAATGATAACATACATGCACTTAAGTATTCACAGATACATGACAATGTGACATAAACTAACCTCTAAATAGTTTACAGTTTACAAAGCACTTTCACATATAGGTCATTTGTTCCCCACAGTAATCCTAGAAGGAGGGTGATTATCATCATTCTCATCTTAGTGGTAAGGAAACTGACATTCATACAAGTTACTTGATATGACCAAGGTTACTGCCTGCTAAGTGGCAGAGAGGGAACTTAGGTCTTTCTTTTTCATAAAGAGAATTACCTTATTAAATGAGTTATGGAGGGGTTATTTCTAGTCTTTAACAATATTATTGCTCTTGGAAAAAATTCAGTATTAGCTGAGAAGTAATAGTTGTAGGGATACTCTAACAGATTATTCAATATGAAAAACGGATTGTGCATCCAAAATAAGGGAAGCCTATCTATAGATATTTATACAAGTTATTATGTGAGCTATTATTTGGAAATAGAAGTCTTATGATAGTCAGCTGGGTGCAGGGGCTCACGCCCGTAGTCCCAGCATTTTGGGAGGAGGAGGCGGGCGGATCACTTGAAGTCAGGAGTTTGAGACTAGCCTGGCCAACATGGTGAAACCCCATCTCTACTAAAAATACAAAACATAGCTGGGCATGATGGTGCATGCCTGTAATCCCAGCTACTCAGGAGGCTGAGGCAGGAGAATCGCTTGAACCCAGGAGGTGGAGATTGTAGTGAGCTGAGATCGTGCCACTGCACTCCAGCCTGGGTGACAGAGCGAGACTCCTTCTCAAAAACAAGAACAAAAAAGTCAATAGTGAGCCTCAGTCAGAGATGTTGGAGAGATTTGTAATCAGTTAAGAGGAGTAAAAAAACAGCACAATCAGACAAATTCAGGAATAGTCTTTCTCCTGTAAACTGCAGCCCCTGCCTGGTGAGAAAGTGAAATCACAATCCTAGCACACTGGCTGAAGGAGATAGAAGAAGAACACCCAGCACATCGTAGAGCCGTTGTCCTGCTCTGACCAGGATCCCTGCAGAATGAGGTGCTGCTCAACCAGCCTTAGGCTCCCATGGAGCAGTGTGTAAAAAGCCTTCAGAGCCTGAGACTTCCAGAACGTGGATGGAATACTCACCCAGAGGTGAGCTGGGGATTTCCACGGGCACAGTAATAGACTTTGGCTTCAGAGTGAGCATCCAATCGCCAGTAGCCAACTTGCTGACCTTTGGATGGTCCTCCAACATGGCCAAACTTGTTGCAGAGCATAAAACTGAAATACTAAATAAAGATCAAGGCCAAATCAAAGTCATAATGAGACAAATGACCCCATACAGACCTTTTGATGTCAGTTCTTTTTTTCCCTGAGAACTTGAAACCTCTTGCCTCCTCTTTAGAGAGGGTTGTTAATGGACCTATAAACTGGAGTTTAAATCTGGAAACGTTTCTCATCAGGGGAAAGAGCACTGGGCTTGGACTCAGAATCCTGGGTTCCAGTCCTGGATGTTCAACAGAGAAACCACTCAACCTCACTCTGCCTCAGATTTTTCTTATAAAAACAAAGAGAGCTGATTACAAGAACTCTAGGATTTGTACCACTTCTAGAATTCTACCCTTTACCAACATCTGAAATTTGCATTTAATATACTCCCCACTTGGGAGACACCATGCATAAAATTACAGAAGGCAGGATTTGGAGTCATCCAGGCCCAGCTTGCAATCCCAGCTCTGCAGTGTTCTAGCTGGATCATGTTACACAACTCCCCTAGCCCTCCCCATGCTAGTTTCTTCATCTTTAAAACACAGGTGATAACAACAGTATTCAACTCAAAAGGACTTTTGTGAATATTAAATGGAATTATATGTAAAAACAATACATAGTACCTGGTACATAGGAAGTACTCAGTAGATGTGAGTTACTAATATGTATTTGAGAATGGACAGGCCAGGTGCAGTGGCTGATACCTGTAATCCAAGCACTTCAAGAAGCCAAGGCAGGAGGATTGCTTGAGGCCAGGTGTTTGAGACCAACCTGGTCAAAATAGCTAGAGAAAGAAAAGAAAGAAAGAAAGAGAGAAGGAAAGAAAGAAAGAAGGAAGGAAGGAAGGAAGGAAGGAAGAAAGGAAGGAAAGAAAGAAAGAAGGAGAAAGAAAAGAAAGAAAGAAAGAAAGAAAGAAAGAAAGAAAGAAAGAAAGAAAGAAAGAAAGAAAGAAAAAGAAAAGAAAGAAAGAAAGAAAGAAAGAAAGAAAGAAAGAAAGAAAGAAAGAAAGAAAGAAAGAGACTTAGCTGGATGTGGTGGTGCATGCCTGTGTTCCCAGCTACTTGAGAGGCTGAGGTGGGACAATCACCTGGGCCCAGGAGGTCAGGGCTGCAGGCTGCAGTAAGCCATGATTGCACTACTGCACTCCAGCCTGGGTGACAGAGCAAGGGGCTATCTTGGAAAAAAAAAAAAAGAGAGAAAGAAAGAAAAGAAAATGTACACTCAGGAAAATAAAATTGAAGGACTTTTATTAAGAGCTATACCTCATTTTGTGATGGAGGGAGCCAGAGTGACTTAAAAATCAACTAGCTAAAAACATTCTATTTTTTAAAATCTCAAAAACTGGTAAATGACAGTCTCTGATAAGGAACACAGGCCATGTCTCATGTTTCCTGCATGATTCAAATTGGTGGATAATTAGTCATAAAGATTTTCTGAGTAAACAGCACCATTTTGTAATACATTGTTTTCTGCTAGTTTGGTTAGGGATGGACAAACTGTGAATGAAAAAGGAAGGTATATAGATGTTTTGTCCAGCACAGTAACCACTGGTACCATGTGGCTATTCACAGCTTAAAATGTGACCAGTTCAAGCTGAGATGTGCTGTAAATACAAAATTCACAGCAGATTTCAAAGATTTGGTACCAAAAAAAGTAAAATATTCAATAATGTGTTTATATTGATTATATGGTAAAATGATAAAATTGGTAAGTTGGAGTAAATAAAATATTTTTAAATGAATTTTACCTCCTTTTTAGTTTTTTAATGTGACTGTTAAGCAATTTTAAATTACATATATGGCTTGCATTATATTTCTATTGACCAATGCAGTATAGAGAGGAAAAATAAGAACACACATACATAAAGAGCAAGAAAAAAAGGAAGTCCCGGGGATGTAGCAATGTAAAAAAAAAAAAAAAAGTGAAGAAGGCCACAGGCTTGATGATCCTTGTTCCATGCAAAGAAAGTCACAAAATTGATTTTTCTATTAACAAAGAAGCTAATCGAGATTGCATTCCCTATGCCTTTTACGTATTTCATTTTGTAACATTTGGTAGAAGAAAGAAAACAGAAGTTGCGCCTTCCTCACCTCTTTCACTGAATAATCTCTTTTAATCTTATAAAACACGGGGCCCTCTTTTGGTCACAAGCGGGTAGAAAGACATAAAAATAAGGAAAGTGCACCCTCTGCAGGTTACTTAGTAATATAGCAATATTGAACAGTGAAGTTCTGTAAAAAATCCTGCAGAACGAATAAATGAATGGTTGAGTTACAATTCACATTACTGCATCTACTGCTGTCATCATTGATTCAATAATGATGAAAATAAAGGCAAGGAAATGGGTCGGATAGTATAAAAATTATTATTAGGTTATGTCAACCCTTTCTTTTTTCCTTCCCTTCTGCCTTCTTTCCCTCCTTCCTGTCTTTCCTCCTTCTTTTTCTCTTTACTCCCTCCCTTTCTTCTTTTCTTCCCCCTCCCTCCCTCCCTCTCATCCTTCCCTCCTTCCTTCTTCCCTCCTTTCCTCTATCCCTTCCTTCCTTCCTTCCTTCGTTCCTCCCTTCCTTCCTTCTTTCCTCTTTTTTCTTGCTTTCACTCTTTGAACAGCTTAGACACATCTCTTTTGGAAATCCTATATAAAGACAGATGGCAAAAGGCCAAACTCAGCCTAGAGATTTATGCTGTTGATTTCGGTACAGTTTCTTTATGAGGTTAATGCTTCATTCATGTTTCTAAATTCAGTCTGGCAGATAAAGTAAAGAGATAACAAGGCCACAAACATCACCAGTCACAAACTTAATGGTGTCAAGTATGTGATTATAAGCAGCGCCTAACTTAGGAAAGGGTTACCTTCCCAAAGGCAGTTTATATTTTAGTTGTTTGGAATGAGAAATCTTTTTCTCATTTTTTCTGGGCCAGTTCACAAGGACACAAACACATATTAACCTATAATGTATCTGAGATAGATAATAATGACATCATTATTTTTACTTTATCAAATAGTAATATATAACAGTATTTTTATGGAAAAAGACAAATATAAGGCCCCATTTGGGCTCTCAGGAGATTATCCTTCTTTCTCCAGGTGGTACGAGCAGTCTTCCCCCAGTTTCTTGATTTAGAGATTAGGGTTACCTCTGGGAGATTCATGCCAGACAACCCCAAGACTAGTGTCTTTTTTTTTGAGACGGATTCTTGCTCTGTCGCCAGGCTAGAGTATAGTGGTACAATCTTGGCTCACTGCAACCTCTGCCTCCCGGGTACAAGTGATTCTCCTGCCTCAGTCTCCCAGGTAGCTGGGACTACAGGTGCCCGCCACCACGCCCGGTTAATTTTTGTATTTTTAGTAGAGACAGGGTTTCACCATGTGGCCAGGCTGGTCTCGAACTCCTGACCTCGTGATCCACCCACCTCGGCCTCCCAAAGTGCTGGGATTACAGGCATGAGCCACCGCTCCCGGCCAGTATCTCGTTAGCACTCTTTAGTGCAAAACAAGGACGCTAACTCACTGGTACAGTCACATCCCAAGATTTCTGAACTGGAGAACAAAGAAAAATTAATATCATCGTCAGAGAAAGCAACACCCAAAAGGTGAATTCCCTCTGCTTTCTTCAACACACACACACGCACACACACTTTCCTGTGTCACCAACACTCATTTCATAGATTAGGCATCTATAGGTTAAGACTGCCTGTAATGATAACCAGGCTTCAATAGCCTTAAGAAATATGGCACTAGTGTTATGGAATATATTTCCTATTAGCATTTTTATTATTCACAGCATAATTTATTTTAAGACCAATTTAATTCCTTTTAACCTATTAAACAAAACTAGCATGGTGAAATTAAACTTTGCAGTATGTGAAATAACTTAAGGAGAGCTTATGAAAGGGAATTTGGAATAACCCAGAAATTATATTTATTGCTTACACATAATTCAAACAGTGCGAAAATGTAATGCAATCTGTAAACTTGTGTTTTTGTCAGATTATATATTTTAAAATAAACACTTGCAGGAAAACACAAAAAAAGGTGACAACATTTATTATTTGCTTTTTCTTATGCTTACATTTAAACTTTTTAATCTAGAATATATATAACAGCCTAAATTGTGTGCCTACCAAAGCTTCACCTCTCATAGTTAAAATGCTGGAAAAAAATAAAAGCATCTGTCTTGATCAGAGTTATGAGAACACAAGTGAAATGTTTTTGCAGCTCTGCTCTCTCTTGAGTGCAGAGACATAAAATTTGGAGCTTTTGAGAAATATGGTCCCTATCTAATGCACAGTGATTCAATGAAGAAGCTCTTACTCACTTAACTTAGTGAGTAGATTAAAATACAATCGGAATTTCCTCTTTGGGAAGCTAAATTTAGTTTTCAGCTATAATCTTTATGTGACTCCAGTTGTGATGTATAGAAATCTCATAGTATTATATAGCATGATCATTAAAATGAGCACGGCTGGGCATGGTGGCTCACGCCTGTAATCCCAGTACTTTGGGAGGCCGAGGCAGGTGGATCATGAGGTCAGGAGATCCAGAACATTCTGGCTAACTCAGTGAAACCCCATCCCTACTAAAAACACAAAAATTAGCCAGGCGTGGTGGTGGGCGCCTGTGGTCCCAGCTACTGGGGAGGCTGAGGCAGCAGAATCCTTTGAACTCTGGAAGTGGAGCTTGCAGTGAGCTGAGATCACACCACTGCACTTCAGCCTGGGAGACAGAGCAAGACTCCATTTCAAAAAAAAAAAGAAAAAGAAAATGAGCATTAGATTTACAGTTAAATCCTGCATAAACCATTTAGGAGATATATGACCTAAGACATAGCTTAACCTCTCTGTTCTTTAGCTTCTTCATCCAAAAACTGGGGTTCATTCATTTATTGAATACTTAACATGTGCCAAGCACTGTTCTGAGAACTGGGAACATAATTAAAGAACATATTTGGTCCAAATTCTCAGGAAGATTGCATCCAAATTGGCAGAGATAGAGTTTTTTAAATTAATTAATGTGAAAATGTTTAGGAAGTATTAGCTCTTAGGATAAAAATGAAATAGGGTGATGTAAAAGGAATATTGAGGAAGTTCCTGAAGACAGAGTTGTCAAGGAAACCCTCTCTAGGGAGATGAGATTCAATCTGGGGCCTGAATGACAAGGAGGTGTCATCCACACCAAGGTCTGGGAGAAGAGAGGTCCAGGCAGAAGGAAAAGCT